CGTCGGAAATTTGCGACGGATTGTATTTTCCGTCGCAAATTTGCGACGGAATTTGCGACGGATTGTATTTTCAGTCGCAAATTTGCGACGGAATTTGCGACGGATTGTATTTTCCGTCGCAAATTTCCGACGGAAAATTAATCCGTCACAAATTTGCGACGGAAAAATATTCGTCGCAAATTTCCGTCGCAAATTTCGTATTTTTTTGTAGTGAATTTGAATATTGTTGTAAGGAAAATCCATTGGTTCTTAACTACATTAAAAATACATGGCTTCCTTTCAAAGAGTTTTTTGTGCCTGCTTAGACAGACCCAAACCTGTACATGCATTTTAGGAGCCGTGTTACTTCAAGAGCTGAAATGGCACTTTCGACTTTGAAAGCATATCTACAAGTTTCAACGCGGAATTTAGTCAAGGTTAAAAAGTAAATATGCCTTGCAGTTGAAAATCAATTTAAAAAAATCAAAACCAAATTGTCAAATGAAAAGGTAAAGAGTTCCTCGTCATCTTAATACTCGTCTTTTTAGGAACTTGATTACTGGGGTGATAGTATTTGTTTCAAATAAGATCTACAAGAAATATGAGATTGCTAAAAGTAGAGTAGAGTTACCTGCTTGTACCACACATTTTATGCAATCCATGGGCCTTCCATGTGCACATGAAATAAGATTTTAGGTTTTCTGATGGTTTACCTCTAGATATAATTAATCAACAATGGAGGCTTGATGTAAGGTCCTTTCTTGGGTCATGATATTGTGCAAAATAATGAAAAAAATTCATTTTCACAGCTACTTCACGAGTTGGAAAGGAGTTGTCAATTGTTGCCAATAAAAGAAGAAAGAAGGTAATCAAGAATGGCCAATTTCCAAAAAGGAAGTTGTTCGAAAGCAAAATGAGCAATTTGTATAAGCAAGTGATCCTTTCTTATATGAGCCCCTAGCTACATCTTCTAAAGGTCGTCTCTCCAATTCAAAAACTAAAGTAGAAGCAACTTCCACATGATGTGATCCTTTTGCATTTGAGATTATTGAAAAGGGGAAAAGATGCGGTACTTGTAAGGTTTAAGGCCATATAGTCGAACAAGTAATTGAAAGGCAAAGATCTTGGATCAAATTCACATTCAAAGACCATTGAAATTGATAGTGGTGAAATTTAATAGGCACAAAGGACTCAAGCATGAAACAATTCAACTTAAAAGACGTATTCTAAAGTTGGAGCTTCTCACTCGATGACATTGAAATGTATTCCTAAATATATATTTGTTTTAAGTAATACTCTTATTAATGTAATTAAAAAACTTTCATTATCTGATTTGGGTAAAATATTTTTTTTTAAGAGAGTATGATGGGAGCGAAGCAGCTGAATAGACGATTGTGATAGGGACTGGAAATAACGCGTATAGAAAATGTATAAATTTTTAAGTATACACACAACCGGAACCCAATGAATAATAATAGGACACAAAGTTCAAAAACAATTCAGGTAAACAAATAAGCAACCACACGAACAATCTAATACAGAGATCACCCTCTCAACTCTCATCTGCATTCCAAGGACTTGAGTGCCTTTGCGGTCACATCAATGGCCATGGTGCAGTTCATTTGCGAGGTCTTGTTCTTCTTGAACATGAACATGACCGTCACCTTCCCTTTGAGCTCGCCTTGGCTGTTCAACGTTATGACCCCCGAGTTCAACTCGCTCGCGAGAGTCGAATCGCTTGGCAAGTTCGTGGAGTTCAAGGTCACGCTGGCGTCGATCTTCTTGGTGGACTTGAAGTTGGCCTTGCTCTTCGGAATATCCACCTGTCCCAGCTGGACGCCTCCATAGACGAAGTTAACGGTGGTGGCGTCGTACTTGAAGGGGCCCCAGTTGGTGTTCTTGATCCGGATCGGGGCAATGAAGGTCATGTCGAACGAGGGCGAGGCCTGAGTGCCGACGTTCAGGGACTGGACGTCGAACTCGCCGACCCTGAACTTGGGGGACTTGAACTTCATGATGACCAGGACAAAGAAGAGGGCCTGGACTACCTGGAAGATGACGAAGGCGGTGATGCCGATCGTCCACTTCATCTTCTTCTTGCGCCTCTCCTCGTCGGTCAGTTGCTGTGACTCCTGATCCTTCCTGTAGAACACCATCTTGATTCTGGTTTGTGGGTGATATTCGGTTTTGGTTGTGCTTGAAAGCTCGTGTTTCAGCGATGGTTTGCCTGCAGGAAAGCAAGATTTTCTCGGCTACGTTTCGTGGGTGAGGTGCTCGGATGTGTTTGAAGGAATTGTTGATGCTTGGTTGGGTGGCTATGTCGGGTTATATATAGTCATTTTCAGGGGTACTACTGCCTTATCTTATTAGATATCTAGGGATCTTACAAGGAAATGATCGTAGTGGGACTAGGACAGCGGTCAGAGGATTTTGGTACACGGTACCAAAGCGAGTTTTTTTGGGGTGGTTTTTATTGACTTTCTAGATGCTCGTGACTTTTCGATAGTGAAATTGTTTTCTTATTTACGATAAACGGTCAGCAATAGAAGCTTCGATCGGTTTAATGTTTATTTTTATCTGGTGGAGGGCTGCAATATAAAAGCTGAACCGTCTGAGTAGATGGCTGGAATTTGTTTGCTCAATTGAACCACCCCTCTTAATAAAATCGTTTGCTGAGAGCGAAAGTGAAACCGCAGTTCATATCCTATGGGAGTAAGCAGTGGCCAATCATCACGCCTCAACGGCCAAGGTATGCCTAAAATCTCTCTTTGCTGCTATGCTTATACTTCCAATTGGTAGTGAGTTTCTGGATTCTTTATCTGGTGATTGTGATAGCTTAGAGATGAGATAGTGTCATTGGTCTCAATTGGAGGAGTTTCAAATCATGTACATCTCTCCACCTTATTTCCTTACTTGCTCTGTTATCGATCTTTATTCCGGCCTCGTTCACACTGTTTTTCTTTTTGAGTATTGTGATTTGCAGCACGAATCTCATTCGCAAGCTAGAGATACATAGCGAAATCTCCTTGTCCCGTAGGGATCCTCTCGCACTCACATTGGCTCGAGAGGTCCCCATGGGGAGTAGGATTCCATCAATGGGGATGAAAACTTTGCCCCCACGCAATGATTAATTGCGTGTGAAAAACCTCGTAGCCCCACTCACATATTTTCCTTTTTATTTTATTTTTTGTTTATTGGCTTCAATACGCGCATTGCTGTGGAAAATAGATTGTTTGAAATCTTTTTTGCTGATTCAAAAATTATAATTTCTACTAATGCATGTATCATTTCATCGTCCTTTTGATTAATGTATCTCAACTTGTCTAACGTACACTCAATCTCGAAGCTCGGTCCCTTAATGTTAAGCACAAATGTTACTCTGAAATAGTCACTAATACATTATCATCCTAAGCGAATAGCCCATAGTGGGATCTCATAACGAGATCGAGGATCTCCATCTGTTTTAGATGTTAAAAGCATATATCTAATAATTAAGTTGGGTGGCTAAATTATGTTAATTTATAGTAATTAACGATGCTTGGTTAATTAATGATTGTGATAGCTTAGAGAGCAGATATTGGTACAAATTGGAAACCAGTTTCAAATCACGATATCTCTCCCCTATATATCCTTAGTTGGTTTATTCTTTATCCAATTCCAGCTTCTTTAATATTTTTCTTCTTTCATTTGAGCTAGATATATGTAACGACATGTCCTTGCCCCATAGGACCCAATCTGACCCCTATCGAGCAAAGCAGGTTAGTGGGGGCCCCTTCAGGGAGTGAGATCCCATCGACGGGACGAAAACTTTGCTTGCAGGGGTCGCTGGACGAGCATTAATTGGGTCTCGAAAACCTCTCCAACCCCACTCACATGCTTTTCTTTTCTTTTATTGTTAACTAAACTCAACACACGCATATTGTTTTTGCTGATTCTAAAATTATAGACTCTACAAATGCATGTATCCTTCAACTGTCCTTTTAATTCATGTATCTCTGTAGCATACTTCGAATCTCCGCACTTGCCCCATACTGTTAGACATAAATGGTACTATTAAATAGTCAATAATACATTATTGTCCTAAGCAATTAGCCCCTATTGAGATATTTATGATGAGATAGACGGCCTCCATCGGTTTCACATGTTAGAAGCATCTATCTGATAATTAGGGTGGCTAAACTATAAGTTAATTTACAGCAATTAATGATGCACCATGGTTGAAATATGTGTAGCCCCATGTGTATTGGTAATGACATATCATTATTACAAGTTGGAGCCATTCAAAAGGAAGACTTCTCCAAGTCGATATCGCCTGCGCTCGAAGCATTTCCACCCAATTTACACGCACCGTTAGATCAGATGCGTGTCATGTGGGGCACACCTTTCATCCAACAATAAATACGATTTGGGTTCACATGATGGGTCGTCATTTTAGATCTTTTCCTTATTCTTTATGACAACCTCGGCGTTCTTGCAGATTTTTCAAATTTACTTTCGAAAGTGAACGAGAATAAAGGGGCGAGACACTGGCTTTCCCTTGGGATGACAACCGTGACTAGGATTCGTATTAAAAATAAATAATCACCGCATATTATTCCCATGCTAAAAATATAATAACGCCGTAATAAGCAGGACCAAAGAGCACGAGCTATTGTACACCAAATAAAAAATAATAATAATACCCACAAAAATACAAAAATAGAAAAAAAAAAATGAAGTCTTCTCGGCCGCCGATCTTGACCCCCTTGGCCTTGAGATTTTTCCTAAAGCTTTATGCACAATAATGGAGACTCACAAGCTTTGGTAGGCCAACATGGCCCGACACCTATCGCATTCACACCAAGTCGCACTCGAGTAAAAAAAAAAACAACAGAGAACAAGAAAAAGCAAGAAAAATTCGAAAATCCTTTGCGTATCATCGTCTTCACTGCAACCATATTCTCCGAGCTCTCCGCCCATGTCGACTCGATGGCGACTCAGTGAGTCCCGATCGAGCGCTAGGCGAGACGAGTCGTCGTCCCTCATTTACAGTCCACGGACGTGAGCGTCTTGGCGGAGACGTTGATCTCCATCGTGCAGTTCATCTTCGTCGACTTCTTCTTCTTGAAGATGATCATCACCTCCACCTTCCCGCTCAGCGTGGCCTCGCTCATCAGGGTCAGGACTCCGGAGCTCAGAGTCGAATTAGCGCTGCTGGGCAAAGCCCCGGAGCTCAGAGTCACGTTCAAGTCGATCTTCTTGGTGGACATGAAGTTGGCCTTGCTCTTGGGGATCGTCACGTTGCCCACATGGACGCCGCCGCAGATGAAGTTGACGGTGGTGGCGTCGTACTTGTAGGGCCCGAAGTTGTTGTTCTTGACTCGGATGGGCGCGAGGAAGGTCGCGTTGAAGGACGGCGTCTGGGCCGTGTACAAGCTCTGGATCTGGAGATCGCCGACCCGGAACTTGGGCGTCCGCACCTTCATGACGACGAGGACGAAGACGAGGATCACCGCGACCTGGAACACGGCGAAGGCGGCGATGTAGACGGCCCATTTCATCCTCTTCTTGCGCTTCTCCTCGTGGGTCGGGAGCGATTCGGCGTCGTTGCGGGTCTTGTCGGCCATTGAGATGAGGGTTCCTTTGCTTTTGTGTGGACTTGGGGGAGTGATAGTGTTTTGAAAGATGGGGTTTCCTTCTTTTGTGGGGATCTCTCTTGGGTGGTTTCTTGTTTGTGCTTTTAGGGTTTGTGTGGGTTGGTTTTTTATAACGCGATGTGCGTAGGTTGTCTTTCTTGTAAGAGGGAGGGATGGACGGGGAGGTTTTGAGGATGCTTGCTTGAGCCGCCAGACACTGCCCGGAGAGGTTGGACCAGCTTGACTTGTAAACGGTCGTGACTTCCGTGAAGACTTTTTGGAGCAACGGGACAATCTTGGGTAGAAATCCTCGTAAAATATCTTGGTGCATGACCAAAAAATATATATATCTTGGTGACTTTTATGTCCCCGCCTGCCACGCTTAAATTACTTATTAAGTGAGCTGGAAAAGGAGAAACCCCATGTGGAAACTAAATAATTAAGAGGAAATTAATGCTGCCAATGGAAAATTATCTAAAAAGTCTTAAACCTATTGTACGTAAATCAATTCAATTTTAAATTTTTCAATTTTGTCAATTTAGTTCTAAACTTTTGAAATTTGGCAATTTAGTCAAACATTTTGATAATTTACCAGTTTAGAAGATAATAGGTTTATGATTAAATTGGCAGACTAAGTAACACAAAAAAAGTTTTAGAACTAAATTGACAAATCATCAAGAGGTTTAGGATTAAGGGTGTGTTTTGTTCAGCATTCTCAAGGAGCTTTGAGGTCCTAAAGTCCCTTAGGTAAATGCAAATGGCATTTGACAAATTTTTCGGAGAACTTTGGAAAAATGCAATTGCATTTCCAAAGACCTCTAAAGGCCTTAAGCAAGAGGCAAGTCCGGAGGTCCTTTGAAGAATAACATTCTCGGAATGCAAGTTTGGCACTGTTTATTGGCATTGTTCATCTTTTCCTATTTGCACTGAGAAGCTGGACATAGGCCAACAACTGCTGCCTGAGAGGTCGCGCGACCCCGTCCATTGCCACCTGGGGGTCATGCAACCCTAGTGACCACCACCTAGGGTTGCGGTAATGTGTTTTTAAAATACACTTTACCAAACACTACTTGTATTTTGGAATACCCCTTTAGTTTAAAGGCCTTTGTATTTTTCCAAAGACATTCCCTGAAAGCCGAATTTAATGCACCCTAAATTGACACAATTGAAAGGTTTAAGACTTAATTGGCTGTCGTACAATAGATTTAGGACTTTTTAGACAATTATCCCATCGTAAAAGAGTACTCGACGAATCGATTTTCCTGTCAGTATTAATTTATCGCGATTTGAAAGACCGAAAATGAATATGAAAAATCGAGAATTTCCCAACACGAAAACTAAAACTAGACACGTATATAAAAAGTTGTGGATGAGCTCTATGAGTAAGCAATGGTTTCATTTGTCCGGGTTCGCGCGTCATTAATTAGCATGTATCAATCGATTGAGAAAATATCTTCTCATGAAAATGACCTATGCGTTCTTCTTCGTAGATGCAACTGTTGTTTGCTCCAGATACATGTGGTTGTGGACACGGTACGTTCCAGATTGCTGTCAAGTGGAGGTCGCAGATGGATCTTCTGTCACAAAAGTTCAAATTGTTCTCTCAAGTGGACATGGTGCGATTCTTGATTGATTAAAAGAAGTTTGCGACATGCCTTAGGGTTAGAATGTGAGTTCCGAAAGTGAAATCACTTTTGCATTGTCAATCATGAAACCTTGCTTTGGCTCGGAAATTCGGGGGTTTAATATTGGAAGCAGAATAGATTAATTGAGTATGCGTTGTATTCGATATTTTCGTAAGTTTGAGTGTGGTTTGTCCCTATCAATTGCGTTACGAGGGTATCATGTGCATCTCGTTTGCTCTGACATGTTCTAAAGGTATTAATATTTTCCTAAGTTTGAGTGAAGAGATGTCCCTATCGATTGAGTTACAACGGTAGCTGTTTTATCTTGTTTGCTTTGACATGTTCTAAAAGACATAGGTGTCCAGTAACATTTTCAAATCATTTCATTTTGTTGGTCTTCAAACGTGCGAAATTCCATTATACAAGTTTAGCACAAAGTAGTGGTGGTTATAATAATGGCTTTCTATGTTTGCATATCGCCGCCCTTGGTCTGAAAGGGACAGATTCCGCGAATTAGTCCCCAAATCAAGAAACGAGGGGAAAAAAATATTTGGGTACAAATATTATATTGCTCGCGGATTTTCGTAATAGAAAAAATCGCAAGTGTTGTTTTTAAGGGCCTAGAAGCAAATACTTATGCTTTGACCATGGCCTTTGTGAATGGATTCAAGCATTCAATGGATCTTGTAAGATGCCAAATATATTATATCCTACATCCTTTTTTGTTACTCTAACATAATAATCGGATTGGTTTTATATGGGTCCACTAGATGTCCACTAGATGTTCATGAAATGCCAATCTCCGTGTGCAAATAACTGCGGTTAATTCCACAAAAAATCCTAATTATGCCCGCTGTAACACTAGTACCCCAAACTTTTCATTTGTGTCACAAAAAATTCTAAACTATGCTCATCGTGACACCAATACTCCAACTTTTTTTTGGATTGCCAAAATCCCCAAACTTATATTAACGTGATACAAAAAACCCTTCAGCTATTTGCCTCTGATGTCAAATCCGTGTCAACTCCATGCGCTACCATTGTTTACGCGAGCCGGCATGTTAGCTTTTGAAAGCCGTCTTGGACAGGACTATGACGGAAGCTTCTTTTCTTTTGTCACTGGTATGAGTTTAGTGTATTGATGACACGGAAAAAAAAAAGTGGGTTACTGATGTCACTGTAAGTAAATTTTAGGGTTTTTGGTGGTAGATTAGAATATTTTTGTCACACTGGTACAAGTTTGAAGTAATGGTGTCACTCCTCCTGTTCGGTGCAGAATTCTGTTCATTACTGCCCCATTCGCCATCTTAGGAGCTTACTAAGAGCCGCTCATTGTCCAGACCCTCTAGACCCGGCGACACGTCCCCACCCTCGTCAGACCATGTCGTTACAATACTAATGTTTATTATGTCAAAAATGTGTGATCTCATGTCATTGTCGTTATTTTATAGTGACCAAGAACTTCAACTTAAAAACCGTTTGTTTGAAGTAAAACTGTTTTTGAGTAATTGTTTTCCAACTTTCTCAAGTTTGGAGAAAACTAATCAATTTACAGAAAACATGAAAATCACTTTCAAAGAAAATGATTAGTTTTCATTCGTTTGGTGATTTAGAGAAAGTGATTCCTTCTTGCTAGAAGGAGAAGTCGTTTTCTCCCAATCCAAGCTCATTATTTTTTAGTCCATGAAAAACGTTTTCCACATATCAATTGGTGTTCTGTCATGTAAATACCGAAAAGTCGAAAAAGAAACGTTTTCTTTCAAACAAACAAACCCTTGGATGGCCAATTAAACTCAAAACTCGTGCATGCCTCGTCAGCCATCGTGGATTGCGTAGATTGTAGATCGCATCCGAAAGGTATGGCCCGGGATAGTTTGTGCATTTTGGTGCGGCGAAGAATCATATTGAACTCATTTTCGCGAACTATTCCACCAACCACTCACGCAATCCACGAAGATTTGGTAAGAGGGGAGGGGCCAAAACATCTTAGCTTCATCATTGAAAAAGTAATCTGCGTAAAGATTCCATCTAGAAGCACAAATTGAATAGTGGTGCAATTGCGGGGACAAGGTAACGTGCGAGGAAAATGCGATTATTCTATGATTGATTGATTTGAATTTTCAAAGCTGATCTTTTTTAATAATATGAGTCCATTCATATAGTCTAGGGAGACTTTTGACAAACACATGGATGTCATGGACAGCTGCCTCGGCCAAGCATCCGCCGTGGAATGTTCTCTTCCGGATCGCAACATGTACGCAACGTCCCAAAATTTGGACCCACCGTGCAATCAGACAAATCCACCGGAATATATAAAATTCAAGCAAATCCAGCTCCACCGCACTGTAGTTGGACTTGCTAGGGAAGGAGCAATTTTGTAATTGTGAATTAGGTAGACTATACGATAGATTCGATCCATCACACGATGCAGCGCAAATAATCACAATCACAAAATCGGGCTGCGACTCTCATTTTGCGGAGATTGCTAAGGGTGGTGGAGTATTTCATGATCATAAACCTTACCTACTTAAGATGGATTTTTCTCATTCTGAAGCGTCATGCGTGCATATAGTTAAATTTGGAGGTTAAATTAGTGGATTCATATGAAACCCATCACGTAAAAGAATTAGTTATATACCTAGCTTCTAGGAAAATCCAAGGAAGATTGATATCCATGTAAAGATGATGTAAAGATGATAAGAAGCCGGCAATAACTTTTCGATAAAAGTGAGACATAGTGATGCACTTTCACCTGATTAAGGAGGCACACCCACATAAATTGCACTTATTCAAATCCCACTTTATTACATGACGAGACCCACATCAGTAGCAACATATCATTCAAAAGCGATTCATCATTGTCATTTGATAATAAGGCGCTGAAAAAGTGTCGCTGCGATTTCTTTCTAACACGATATCAATGATTACAATACTTTTTCCCTAATCGCTTCCCTTCAACCTAACACTGCTTCTCCTCCTTTCAGGTAATCCGTCCCGATCCAAAGCGAACCCAACCGGACCCTGTCCGAACATACATCGGACACCCAACTTGTGCAACTAATTAGGAGAGACTTGACTTTAGCGGTCAACAAAGACTGCCTTCGAGTGAGGTATAACTCCACCATCAACAGCCAGAGTGGACTCAACAGCAGCCCATCTTCTAGATGAAGATAAGATGCCCCTCCCCCATTTTCACGCGTTGCTTATGATTCCCATCAATACGACTTGGTCCACCATGTCTGTAATGACCCCCGAAAATGTTTAAAAAATATATAGAAAAGAACGGTCCACACCTTAATTTGGTGAAACAGGAAGAACCATTTCCATTTCAATCTAGTCGGAGGCAGCGGTCAGGATTGACCGGCTGAGGTGGTCCACTAGGGAGTCGCATTCGAGTCTCTTGCACGAATGAAGTTGGGACACGTGAAGGACCCGCCTAATTGGTTCCGGTGGTCGCATTGTGAGGACATGAATGCATTGATGATGATGATGATTGCACGCTCCTTTGTCGATCCATATCGATCCTTCACCAGCTAACTAAGATTAAGAGATGGTGTTAATTAGGGTCTCGCTCGTGCTCCATACCGAAGCTGGCTAGGAGGGTCGATCATCTCGATAGAGGTTCGGCGAATTTGGCGAGGCGAATGAAGCATTTGCGTCCCCCGGAAAGTGCACCCTCATGCTCAAATTCCTGTGCTTTTGGACCCAACTTACTTTGCATTTTGTCAGATTAGAAAGGTGGACTCAGTTTAGGGCGCGAATTACTGTCTCTTCCGCATATTAGCCGACGTTCGGTTGAAGTCGATTTGTTCGGAAAAATTACAAAAAGCATCTATCGAAGTGTGTTGGACTCAATTGAATGACCGATCGGAGAGCGTAGCTGCAAGTCTCCGAGTTTGAAAGTCCATTCTTTGACCAGCCCAATCCATTCTTGGCCAACGAAAGAGTGGGAATGTCCCCAAACATCAGAAATATCAGCCATTATGGACAGCAGCAACGTGACCTTTGCGGTTAGGGCCAAGGGTGTTTTGTTTCACAAAAAATTCGAAATTTAAGGAATATTTTCCGAAATCGATTGGAAATATCGCATCGAAAAATTAGCCAAAGGAAAATATTTTCATTATCGATAGTAACATATGTCGGACCCTAAATAGTTTTTAGTTCATAACTTCAAAAAGGACAACAAACAAACACAAACTACGTGAGGCCCATAACGTATAGAGTGAATATCCAAAGGCCTTATATTAATGGTCCGATTTTTGCTCGACTGTGGAGAAATGCAATTGTATATCCAAAGGCCTTTGGCCCAAAGCAAATCCGGAGGTACCTTGGAAAGGAGCATTCCCGGAATGTAAATAGACATTTTTTCCTTCCAACTTTGCCCTTACTCAACTTTCATTATTCCAGAATGTCCTTGAAAATCCTAACTTGCCGACGAAGGCCTCAGCTACTGGCAAGCCATTAACGAGCCCCCGACGAGCCACCGCCACCCTCTCTTGAGGTCGCCCACCTCTCTTGTCGTGCGAACTTAGGTGAGGCGGCATGAGGTTGCCAATTATCTATTGTAATTGACACCCTACTTCCCCCGCGAGGGCCTACAGAGCAATCCATGCTATTCGAATTCTTCTCCCATCGTAACTACTACTGAAAATATGTCTACTTCTATAGATCTAAGTCCTAGATAGATTCTAAAAATACAAGAAAAATATGAATGCAAGATTCCTTCTTCGTCAATTATCCATGAAAATATCGGCTATTGATGGACCCACCGTAGGCTCAAGTGTCATGCCCCCATATGGAATGACTCCACATACGTCAGAACTTCAAAATAAGTTGAGACTACCATTCACATGTGCCACATCGGCACAACATTACCAGTAATCGACACTAAAAAAGGGTCAATCAATTGGAGAAATAGCGATGCACCTTCACCAAAATGGACATCTTGGATCAAGTAAACCAATACCCATTTTACTCAAATCATCGGAGCATACAATTAGCAACCCTCTTCTGCCAAGCATTAGGACATTAATACAGGACAAAAAATCAAAGGTGTGATTATCACTCTTTACACACACTATACCAAGCTCCCTTGTTGTATGGATAAAAATTCAAAAAAATTAAAACAAAAAGAGGTAACTAGCATAGCACATTAGACATGGCCATGGGCTGGTTTCGGCCCGGGTCAAACCCCGGACCGGCCCATTGACTGGCCCGCGGTTCAGAATCGGAACCGGCCCGTGGCCTAAGGGCCCAGTTCCAAAAAAAAAAAAACTGCAGATAAGTGGAGAAACTCTTTTTTTCCCCAAATTTGATTACAATGTACATTTTGATTACATTTTATATTGAATAATTCATTATTTCATAATTTGATAATTCATTATTTTTTTATTTCATAATTTATTTTTTTAATTTTTACCGGTCGATTCCGAATCGGACCGGAATCGGAACAAGCCCGGAACCGCCGGTTCATACATGGCCACGAATCGGAATCACCGGTTTCGAATCGAAATCGGCCGGTTTCGAACCGTGGCCATGCACATGTCTTGACCTTTTCCTTGCTTCCAGAGGGATTCTTAGAGCCTCCACCCACCTCAATGGTGGAAAAAATGGAAAATATATAATATATTTTTATATATACTTAGGCCCATACACTTAGGTAGACAAAATAAAAAAGGGTCACTGTCCTAAACCCCACCCATGAATGAACGTGCAGCCCAATCATGAAACGCACTGCCGTTTCACTGTCAAAGGCCTGCTGCTGCTGAGGTCAACCTGACCCTTTTGCAGCTGTCCCGCAACGTCGTTCTGGGCCGCCGCCCACCTTCCTCCTCCGCGCTGTAGCCACGTGCATGATGTGGAGTGACCGGCTTTCCCTTTCCCTTTTATTCTATGTTTTTTTTCATCTCTGGGGTCCTACAACTATATATTGTAAGTAATTACAGTGACTGTACTGGCTCTAACTTGTTGGTTTCTCTCTTCTCTACCCAATTCTCTGTACAGAATCTTCAGGCCTCCTTACAGTTGAAATTAATCTCGAGACACAAAAAAAAGGAAGAAGAAGAAGAGTTTCTTGACTCTCTTTGGGTGGAATGAAGAAGGTGTTTGAAAGCTAATAAAGGGGATTTCGAGAAGCCAAAATTAGTCTAGAAATGCTCCTTGTGGAAGTCGAATTTGGTGGGACCTTTCTGGTTGAACTCGTAGCAGAGCTTGCTCAGCTCTTTGGCCAAAACAGGTGCTCCACAGTAGAAAACACCTGATTCAAGAAGCCAAAAGAAATGAATCTTTTGGTAATTTGATTAAGTTGCTTCTGTGATTTTGTGTGAAGAGATTCAACCGGTCGAGAGTTACCTATTCTTGCACCACTGTGCTTGGAGCATAGTTTTGTGAGAGCCTTCTTCCAATTGGGTCTTGCAAAATGAGTCCTTACCTGAATAAAAACATTTTCTTTTTGTGATTCAGTATGTGACATATGGTTGTGAATTGGAAAAGAAAACGATAAATATTAAATTGACAAAAGAAAAAGGAGGAGGAGGAGGAGGATTATACTTACCCTTGTTCCAGAAACAATGTCTACCCCATTCTTGGCATGATTAAGAGCTTGGACCATAGTGATGAGAGCAGACCTTGCATCACCTTCCTCGTACACGCTGGTCAAGTAATTGTGCATCTCAATCACCCCCTAAAAGTCCCAAATCAAGAACACAATCAATAAAGAGAAAACTTATTAAATCCAATTAACGAGCTGAAAATCGGGCTCTAAAGAAAGCATGTCGTCTGTGTTACCCTTTGATCAAGCTCTGCGACCTCATTCATGACCCCTTTGAACCAATCGAATGACCCTTGTTCTCTGGTCACCCAGTAGAAGTAAGCATTTGTGGTCTTCAGAGTTTTCCTGCGCCTCGGGGAAACCCGGTTCGGGCCGGGAGAGTCAACGCTCCCGATGCTTAAATCCGAGTTCCTACTGATATCTGTGACCGAGTCCTGCACACAAAGAAAGGAGGCAAAAGGAAAATTGGTCTTGAAAATACTCACAGGTGCAATGCTAATTCATTCTCATTTGCATCAGTCCACGATCATGTTGTTCAAAAGGTAACTAAAAAGTTGGAGTACATGGTACTTACTGCTTGTTCCTCGCTTCTGACAATGTTGTTGATTAAATCTTTGAGGATACTAATGAAAGGCGTTGCCCCAATTCCGAGACCAACCAGCAGCAACACATCGTATTTTTTGTAGTCTTGTGCTGGAGCGCCATATGGGCCGTCTATGCAGAGCTTCGGCAAACTGTAATCAAGAAAAGAATATGGTCTCGGTTATTGTTAACCCCACAAGCTCAATGATCACTAGTATCATTATAGGAAAACTATAGTGTGTGGACAATGAAAGAATGGTACAAGAAGTGTACACACCTTTTCTTGGTTGTTTCATCAGCCCTGAGGAGGCCACTCTTTCCCGCAACGGGAGGCTCGCAAGCCTCGGCAAACACCCTTTTGAGCTCTCGCGTCCAGTCGCCTAGTTGACGGATATGAACACTGAGGTAGTCATCACCAGGAGCTGAGGTTATCGAAAACGGGTGCCTGGCGATATGTGTCAAGAGTAGAGATCAGTACATATGCGAGGTTTCAAAACTTTTCAAGTAACAATCGGGACCATATGCAGTTGAGCAGTCCGTTCAAGAAGTAAATACACCTAGGGTGGAATATAATGGCGTGCCCATTACCATAAACAAAATGCATTGTTTTCAGTGGGCAGTGATCGTCATTACTTTGGGGACTTACCACTCGAATGGAGAAACCGCAGGACACTGGACGAACATGTACTGCCCACTTTTGTATTTAAATTGGGGAGGCTTCGACATCTTTAACGTCAAGACATTTCCAGGGTAGATCGCAACCTAAACAATCAAGACAATTCGCTCTAAATGTCACCAATTTTAATTGAACGCCAACAAATGAAGATGAATATCAAATTGGGAAGATGGATGACGCGGGAATGCTTTTGTCACCTTGAGCAGTCGGACTGTGTACATTCCAGACCTGAAGAATCTCAGGGTCCTTTCTCCGGCATAGAGCAATACAGGAACGGCAAGATACATCCACGTCTGCGAAGACACAAATTCAACATTTCAAAACTCAAGTCTCATGAACTTAGATGCAACTACATTAGGAATACACCAGTCGTTTTTCAATATTTCAATGTTGGAAAAAGAACGCAGCAACATAAGTTCCTGGAATTCAGGGAAAGAAAACATTCATACCGTCTTGCGGTACCAGAGGTGAACGAGGTAAAGGAAGACTCCGTGAATGATGAGAAGGATATAGACAAGTACAAACAGGTGGTGCGAGTACCAAAATGCGTTGAAGCCAGTGAGCCGGTCGAAGGGTTTCGGGAATTTGACGAGGCTTCGCCGGAACCATCGGGTGGCTAATGTGAAGGCTATTGCCATCAAGATCACCATGAGGATCCCAGTTACGCCTTCAGGTCCCTTGACAAGATCAAAGTACGTCGGCTTCGGATTTCCGAAATCATCCTTCAAGTAGCTACTGTAATCTGACATAGACGCATGTTCGAGCCTCACGAAGTCGCACGCAAGATGGTCACCCACATGGAGGATGACACCGACTACAATAGCGGCAGCAATCGTCTGCACCAGTGTACAAACCAGAAAGACATTATTCAGATTTTGCCATTCTTGCTATGAATCCTGAAACTCGAGTATCGTCCCATGATTCACAACTGATGATTCAGTAGCTGCTGGGCTAAAGGGACAACATTTCAGTTTCTCATAAATCGAAAGTATCAGCAACAAGCATAAGTCCGGTAATTATGCAAATTTTAGAAACATCGCTTCCGTCGCCTTCGCTAAGATCACTGACCTCAAAAAGAACATTCTCTTCTCAGAATTCTTGCTTTTTCACTCATCGGACAACCAAAAAAATCCTAGGATTCTCATTCCACATCACGTGTGGTTCTACATATCTGAGCAGCATTTTGTATCATATCAGACATTGTTACTTAGAATGACGTTGCAAAATATAGTCTGTCATTCGATCAGCCACTCTCTTCCTCTCCATGTTCGGAACCTGGAAATCACAATCTACATTCGTTCTATGGGTCACATCTGTATCTTGTTACACGGTTTTAGTTGTGATTTTCTGTATCGAAGTTTATTCAAGCTATGATTGATGAATCCTTACTCTCTTGCCAATTTCTGATGCCCCGATACAGAGTTTCTTCTTCACTCATCCACAGATAGGGAAGGATCTTGGGGGAAATGCAAGAGATTCTTTCTTTATTTCACTAAGAAGTCAATCTCCTAGCTCAACTTGTGCATACATATAAACAAAAGCTTCTTAATTCATATACTCATGCAACCATTACTAGAAACTATTTTAGATAGAACAGAGTTTCCTTTTAACATTTGTCTTTCTCCATTTTTAACTTGTTTATGAAAAGTCAATCTTTGTGGTTTCCCACAAGTTCTTTTAAAATTTCTGCATATAAACAAAAACAATCATGATCTCTCTGGCCCAAAACAATGGCTAGGGAAGATTCTCATTTGTCAACCTTTGCTGCCTTTAAACAGAAAGATAATGCCTTGCACTGCGCTCTACGCGTTCTTACACAGGACATATCAGCATCTTGTATGTGCACACAAAGAGAGACGTGTCATAAATCAGTTGTTTTCTCTATTGTCCAGATCAAATCAATCACGTTGACTTTCACCGGAAGTCCTCCTCGCGGGTCCCCAAGTCAAAAAATTTGTGAAAAGAAAGTTTCTTCCGCCTATAGGATGATAAAGCTAGCTCAAAGATGTGGAAATTATTGAAGTATGGGAAATTTAAAAAAGGAGGGTTAGATTCCAAGATTAAGATGAAGATATTAATTGTACGAATGGATTAGACATGTCCAGTCGCATAGGTCGGGTCTAACTTATTGTTCAAATTTCCTTGTAAGTATAAAAGAATGCGTACTAGTATTGGAGAATGGGTGGCTCGAGCTATCGGTTCACGATAAGGTCTACGACATTTGGAATGTTCACTAATTAAGGATGTAGCTAAGTTCACGGTATCGATTCTGGTAATACTACAGCATTTCACGAAAAACATTTGGCATGAATCTAAGATAGCCAATACAGTAACTCAAAAGTAACAGAATCGTATATGCGAATAAAATATCTTTCAAAAACGACAATGGTAAATTTGTGTACCTTGTGAAAGTTGATGTTGTCATCGAAGGGTATGAAGAGGCCGACCTTGGTGGACCGGAGCCAGGTGATGGTGTTCCGGCACACGGGCAGCAGGATGAGAGCCATGTTGAGCTTGAGTGTCTCGGCAGCGCCTTTCGCTGTGAGGAGGCAATAGCCCATGACTTGGAAGGCAGCCTTCTGCCTGTACTGCAAGAATTTCCAAGTGAAGAGGCCGATCATGATCATGATCCACAACATTACAACCCAAATCCTCCTCCAATTCTCTTCTAGATAGTACAAACACTTGGTACTCAGTCTCCTGATGGGGCTCCTCCTCCTCAGGCCCTGTAGGTTCTGGCTCAGAGCTTGGCTTGTGTAGCTCAGCGCCTGGCTGTAGTTGAGGTATGTGTCCTTCTGCAGCAGCAGCGTCTCTAGTTGCCATAGCTGCATCCAATTTCCACCAAGAACTCAAGGGCTAAATTGCATAACAGAGCAAGAAAGTTTATTTTTCTCCCATATTATTTGCATTTTAAGTGGAATTTTTCTTCTTCTTTTTTTGTATGTGCACCACCCCTTGATCCATGGAATCAATGCGTCACCGTCGCATGTGAACGAGATAAGAAACGATCGCACGTATGATAATATCATTCACTTAATCCGAACTAGTTCTAGTTAGTCTCTGAAATCTGGTGCTTCTTAATTCAGGAGCAGCTCTCTAGGAACAGAATCGTGGGAGGGGACAAGACAATAGGATCGTGTCGATAAAGCTCAACATGACCCCAACGATAGTGACGATCAAAACCAGACAGCACGCGTGCGTGGGGAGGGCCAAATGCGTGCACTAAAAGTGGCGGACGCGTTGTGTGTGGGACAACCCCCCAAAAGAAGCCCCACCCTACACACGTCGTTTCGGCAACGCCTATGTGTCGCTCCTCCTGTGCACTTCCACATTTGTTTTCTCCGTCATTCAATGGACTAAATTTTCCGGGAAAGTTTCAGCAGCCAAGGAAAGAAAAAGGAGAATGAGTTCGGGGAAGCTGCCAAACGCGGGAACGACGGACATGAATATAATATAAAATCTCGGACCCAGAAAGACCGTCACTCACCGACTCTTTACTATATACATAAGGAAACAAAGCGATTAAAAAAGATAATTATTTGAGAATATATTATCTTAAAGGCTTCACATCTTTTTGGCTGTAACGACATAGAAAACCAGCTCAGATTCTCAGCATAACTAGCTTAGCTAGCTTGTGTTAATGTATCGGCCACAAATCTTTTGTCACTTTGATTTGAGCCCATTTGATAAGTATGAAACCCTAGAATTATTGCTTGATCAAGGGCGATAAAGTAAGGAAAATGACATGATACGTGTGGCTTGTCCGTCGTTCCTATTATAGCACTAATCTAAAAGTAATAATATTAGGACGGAAAGGAGAAACCCTAATTACCTAAACTTTAAGAAGAAATGTTCTTGCAAAATCGAAGAAAAGTCGCTCAACTAACACACATTTTAGAAAACTCTTCAAGCCCCTTTTGTCTTCTAAACAATATAATCTGGTCAATTCGAGCTACGTACACAAATATGAATACACATATATTTATATATTATATAGTCATGAGCTCTTACTCTTTCTCCTTGCACGGTTCAACAACACGGTTGCCCAATTAGAAAAATTTCCCCGTTTTTCGCCTAACATGGACATGGGGAGACAAAGTCGTAACTAATGTTTAGACCACTCGAGTTTAGTTTAGTCGTATAAAAATTACCGGTCAAAGCTCACCTCCATTAAGATGCGTACACCCACTAACTATTTGGAAACAATAGTTTGACGAAAATATATATATTTTCGGGGACTTTGAATTATCTTTAGATTTTGACCAAAAAAACAAAATTATCTTTAGATTTATTATGTAAAGATTCAAAATGAAATTGGACCGACCTCGATGTAGCCGAGCCGCTCTGGATCCAGTTCCTCCATGATCAGAGCTGCGTACTCCTCCGCCTGCTCCTTCAACCTCGATAATCTATTCGCCGAAGCGCTCAGCATTATGATCTGAACACATCGATCGAAGCAAGAATCAAGAACAGAACCGTGTGGAATTAGGGTTTTCGTCGACACGAAATTAATGATGCGAAAAGTCCACGTAACCAAGCTTGCATGCATCAATAAGACCACCACGACATATTGGACAGGCTCGAATTGACCCAAATGCCCCCACCAACCCCACTAAAAACAGTCATTATGTCTTCGGGGAATAAGGTCGTAGTGGAAAATAATTTCGGGGTACCATTTGTCAGCCTAGACATATCAAAGTGATGGCCTATGCTCATGGAAAACCCCACGAATATCCCAAGAAATCTTCAATGGATGAGAAGATGCTTTTAGAACATGGGCAACGTCAGAGCAGACCCAAGAAATAAATAAAAAAAACCGAAAAAAATTTATTTTTATAAACTTCGTGTTTAATTTAATATTGTTGTTTCGATGGAGTAGTTTTGTTGTGGAATTTTCAGGGATTTATTAGGGCTAACCGAATCGCGCCTAACCTTGATTATTCTATCACAACCCAAACATGACACCCTGTAAGGAAAACCCTAGTTTATTGTGGAGGCTTTATGTGAGGCCGTCGAGAGTGTTGGCTAATTCATGCACATTAGTTTTGATCTCGAATAATTTAGTGCGGTCCAATCCATCGCACATATATATAATTAGTTTTAGGAGCTTAGTTTAATCGGAGGTCGTCGAGCCTAATCGGGCTTCATTTACTTGAAAATGACAGATAATCAGAACCGGTTTGAAGGGAAGCTCTCACCTCCTTTACTTCTTCTTCCGTGATTCGACCGTCTTCATTCTTGTCTACCCTGTCATATATTCATCAAGAGGAAAGGTTAACCATCGGCCTACCATATGATTACATTAATGAAATACGTACTGGGTGCGAACAAAATAAATGACGCGATCAATAATTAGGTCCATAATTTGGATACTGTTCAGGGGTCCCTGTTCTTCCCTTGTCACTTCAAGCTCTTACCCACTAACAATACAATCAACTCGCGTTAAAATAAACAAAATTTTATTGAAAAACGACCCGGTCTGGTCCTTAGTTTGTGAAGAAGTGCAATCTTTATCAAAACACAGCAGCGAGAGAAAAGAAATGATTAAAAGAGTAGTCGAGTTGAGATTTGTTTTTTCTAGATTCATCATCATTATCATCATCATGCGTACATGTCGAAGAAGATCTGGAGACGGGAATCGAAGCTCTGATCAGTGATCTGAGACCAAAACTCGTAGAGCTCGTCTTTGCTGATCTTGTCGACCGTCATTCTCCTCCTCCTTCCCAATGCATCGAACAGCTCTAAAGCAAACTCCTTCGAATCTCTCATCCCTTTCACCAAAAAGAAACAAGAAGGCGTCGGCATCAACCTTAAGGAGACAAATTCACCAGAAAGGGACGTAAATTTAGAGAGGAAAATGACGAAAACCTATGCATTGTGCGAAATCTTGACGAAAGAGATAGCCGTCCTTGGCAAGCTTATCGAAGCTGGCCTGAACTTCGTTCCATGCATCGACGTTGCCGGTGGTCTTGCCGTTGCTGATGAACCTTAACCCACGCAGCGCCTTCTGCGCGCCCGAGCGGTTCCGGTCAAGCTGCGCGCGCTGCTTCCGCAGGGCCCGGGCCGTCAGGGCCACGTCAAACCCGCCGGCATTCTGGCCAGCCGACGACGTGGACGCCGAGAGCACGCGGGACGCGTGGCCGTGGCTCCACGAGAACCGCCGCAGCTCCGCCTTGAGCTCCTGCGAGAACTGCCGCGCCTTCGCCACAGCCTCCGCCTTGAGCTCCTGCGAGAACTGCCGGAGCAGGCTCGACGAGCTGCGGCGCATCGTCGGCGACCGCGATGGGCACGAGGCCGACGCGGAGCGCGGGGTCCCGCCGCCGCTGCTGCCGCCGCCGCCGCCGTCGTCATCGTCGATGCTGATCACCAACGCCGACGCGGCCGTCGCGGGCTCGACGCTCCGGAGAACGATCGTGTCGTCGTCCTGCAGGTCGAGCGTCACCTCGACGAGCTCCTCGCCCGAGCTGGACTCCGTGCCCGCCGGCGAGGTGCCGCCGCTCGCCGGAGACTTCCCGGGGACGGTGTCCGACGCCCACCGGCGCTCGTGCTTGGCGAGGCCCTTCATCTCGTCTTCGGTCGCCAATGGAGAACACAAGACAACACAACACAAGTGAAGCTATAGCTTCAGTAGGTGGGGGCGTGGTTATATATGGTGTCGACTAGATAAGGGGGAAAATCAATGGAGTGGAACTCGTGGGATGACGCGTAGAGAATCCATGAAAAAGGACTTGGAAACGCGGTGCGCAGGTTTTTGAAGACGAGAGAGAGAGAGAGAGAGAGAGAGAGAGAGAGAGAGAGAGAGATGTGCAGAAGGAAAGTAAGCAAAGTGAAATTTCTAGAGAGAGAAAGGAGGAGGAGGAGGAGGAGGAGGAGGAGGAAGGAGAAGACCACGGTCGATATGGTTGGGAAGGAGATCGATCGAATGGACCCAACGCAGAAGAATTATAGAAGCAGGAATATAATACACACACACCCATATAAAAAATAAATACAATATAATAGATTGCCTTGGATGGGTACATGTGTTTGCGGGAAGATGTTCTGTGCGACCACCAAAAATGTGTTTGATCTCCCCGTTTGTGGAATGAGGTGTGGCCCACACCCCGTGGGCCACGTCTTGGAAAAACTCATGGCCCACACCGTGTGGGGCCCACCCCCTCTTCCACGGCAGGAAGCTGTCCGAGTCAACCCTTCTTGGACGGACGTGTCCTTTTCTCCTCCCCCTCTCTCTCTCTCTCTCAATGTTTTTGGGAGGGTTGGTTAAACAAAGATTTTAACACGGATTAGCGAGCGGTGAAATTACCAAAAGGACAAGCGAGGGGATGCTAATGAATGATATGTGACAAGGAAACGAAAGTCTCGGGTAATTAACGGAGGGGTTTTCGTGCTGTCTGCCTAAATTTCAGTACGTTGGTCAAGAATGTGCAGATAATTTTCGCTAGACCTGTGGGATGGTGACATGATGATATTTGCGCTACCGATTGGGAAGCCTCTTGTGACAAAGAACGGAAAGTCTTGTAGATTTAACAGACGGATTTTTCATGTCGACTGCCCGAATTTTGATAACATTGGTTAAGAATGTGCAGACAATTTTTTCCGTACTTATCGGGACGGAGATATGACAATCTTTGCACTACCAATTGGGAAGCCACTCCCTTACGTCGGACGAATGGACCATAGAACGTGTACTATTTACAAATAGTTAACATAAAACTCGAGCTAAAATCTGATCGAGTAGTCAAAGAAAATGTCATTAATCACACAAGAGAATCCCATTTATGTAATGCCTATGATTCACACATAGATGCATCTATTGATTCAATATCATTCGCAACAATGCAAAATGCTTTTTTGGTACGTCTGCCTGTCCCCAATTTGGTCATGTCAGCTGCCGCCTGATTGTCCATTATTCGACTTTTCCTTTGTCTGGCTTTGGTCCCCTAATACCTAATATTGGATTCACACATGTTCATCTGGATTAACATTGGACATATAATATATGTAACTTTTCTCTGCACACCCAACGTTTATACGGTAGGAATGAGGAATTAGTTACTTGCTGAAAAAAATAAAATTACCCGTATCAATATCGTTAGACATGAGATGCGTTTAAAATGAGTGATATATATATATATATATATGAGGAGAGTTTTTTTTTTCGCATGCTTTATTTAATAATCCAGGGTAAGGGCTCTAAGAACCCCCAATCAAGAGACCGTGGAACTCCCTACAAGCCGTATGAACTGTTCCAATTTATGCCTTTGGTCTGTGCAGTCAATTTTGACCTTGAGTAGCTTCCGTACTATGATTTGAACAAATGACCTCTAGTTTCTCAGTTGGAATCTCTTGAGACCCCATCAACCATGTAATCTCGAGAGTGGAGTCTCTTTTATTTAATCTCAAAAGATCGTAAATCCTCATCCACATATAAAGAGGAGAATATTCATTTTGCTTATACAATTGCTTGTTTTAGTATGGAAGTAGAATAGGTTTAGGGAAGATTATCCAAAAAGTTCTAAACATATTATACGATCCGCAAATTCATTCCTGAACTTTCCAATATAGGTTCCAAATATTTTGATGGTTTTCCAAAGTAATCCATCGGGCCAATTTATAACGAAAATCACTGATGCGACGATTCAGTCAACGGCGATTCAATCAACGCCAGCCCTCCTATATAGCAATGCCAACACATACATGAATAATTTATGCAATATTTTTTAAAATTTATTGAATTTTTTCTCTCTTTTTTTTCCTTTTTATTTTCTCTGTTAACCTTTCTTTTACCTTAGTATTCATCTTCTTCGTCGAGGCCCCGGTGACCAATGGAGGAAGAAGATAATAGAATAGGGAAAAAATGAAAGATGAAAGGAAAGAAAAGGAAAATAAATTCAGAATTTCTTCAAAACAACTGCAAAAATCATCAACGTCAGCGAATTCCGACCTTAATTGGCCGGAAGGACTACATTGATAAATTGTTAAAAGGTTTAGGCTTAAATTGAAAAGTTGATGACCGAATCGGCATCCGTATGGTAAGTTTAGGCTATGGTTAGGTAATTTTTCAGTGTGTTTTATCCTTTAAGATGTAGAAGGAAATTCCAATAAGATACTTTCTCGCGTAAACCACTTTCATAGGAGAAAATGGGCAAAAGTACACCACAAGTTCCATAACTTGTGTATGGCGATCACTTTGGTGCCATAACTTTTTTTCGGATCACTTTGGTGCCAAGTTGGAGGAAAAGAGATCACTTTAGTGCCAATTTGGCCGGAAATCCAACGTGGCATTTTTTATTAATTTTTGACGCCGACGTGGCTCGCCGGATGCCGAGTCAGCGTGTACAGTCAGCATTTTTTATTTTAAATAAATTTTTCAGCGTGTACAGTCAGCATTTTTTATTTTAAATATTTTTTTCCTTTTTTTTATTCTTTCCTTTTTCTTTTCTTTTCTTTTTTTTCTTTTCTCCCCTCGCCGGCCGGCCACCGGCGAAGCCCGGGAAGGGCTGGGCGAGGGCAGCCTTGCCCATGGCCGGCGAGGGGCGGCCGATCTCGTCGGCGACAAGGCGAGGCCAGCCAAGGCGAGGGCTGCCCTCGCCCAACGCCCGGCGAGGGTTGCCCTCGCCCGACGCCGGCGAGGGCGACCCTCGTCGGCGTCGTCCGACCCTCGCCGGCGTCGGGCGAGGTCGCCCACACCCGACTCGGGCGAGGGCGACCCTCGCCCGACGCCGGCGAGGCCGCCGTCGCCCAACTCCGGCCGAGGGCTGGCGAGGGCGACTCTCGCCGGAGTTGGGCGAGGGCAGCCCTTGCCTGGGCGGGCGAGGGTCGCCCTCGCCCGAGTCGGGCGTGGGCGACCCTCGCCGACGCCGGCGAGGGTCACCCTCACTGTGATCCGACAAGGGCGACCCTCGCCCGACGCCGGCGAGGGTCACCCTCGCCAGATCCGACAAGGGCGACCCTCGCCCGCGTAGGGCGAGGGAAGCCCTCGCCCGGGCGGGCGAGGGTCGCTCTCACCCGAGTCGGGCGTGGGCGACCCTCGCCCGACGCCGGCAAGGGTCGCCCTCGCCCAGATCCGGCGAGGGCGACCCCGCCGGCGCCGGGCGAGGAAGCCCTCGCTGAGTCGGGCGTGGCGACCCTCGCCCGACGCCGGCGAGGGTTGCCCGCCCAAGTGAGGGCTTCCTTCACCGGACGCCGGTGAGGGTCGCCCTCGCCGGATCCGGTGAGGGCGACCCTCGCCGGCGTCGGGCGAGGAGGCCTCGCTGGGCCGGCGAGGGCCGGCCTCGCCTGTCGCCGGCGAGGGTCGGGCTGTCCCTCGCCGGCCATGGGCAAGGCCGCCCTCGCCTAGCCCTTCCCGGGTTTCGCCGGTGGCCGGCCACCGGCAACCGGCCGACGAGGGGAGAAAAGAAAAGAAAAAGGAAAGAAGAAAAAAAAAATATTTAAAATTAAAAATGCTGACTGTACACGCTAAAAAAATTATTTAAAATTAAAAATGCTAACTGTACACGCTGACTCAGCCTCCGGCAAGCCACGTCGGCGTAAAAAATTAATAAAAAATGCCACGTCGGATTTCCGGCCAAATTGACACTAAAGTGATCTCTTTTTCTCCGACTTGGCACCAAAGTGATCCGAAAAAAAGTTATGGCACTAAAGTGATCGCCGTACATAAGTTATGGCACTTGTGGTGTACTTTTGCCGGAAAAAATGCATGCATAGTTATATGATGCCCCTTTGTCATAACATTGTGACCTAGGAAAAAAGGGAGCAATGAGAAATCATGGTCGATTTACATTTGATCTATGCCATCCTCAATTCCTCCAACCCAATATTGCTTTTAATGGCTAGACAATACGGGCATAGCCACGCACCCTATGAATTTCACTTTCCCTTGAACCTCCTCCTTTGACAAGTCTCAAGCTGCGAATGATAACCATTATATTTCTATTTTTCTATTCCAGAAACAAGTTTGGAACAAAAATCCGTTTGGTAACGCAATTTCCTTTTTCAATTTCTGGAATAAATTTTAATTTTAGAAATAAGTTTGGAATAGAAATGAGAAGTAAAATTTTTCTACGTTTCTGTTTCTAGAACAAAAATGAGAAATTCTTCTCATCGGTCACACTCACTACTAGCTGGTCGCCCACCCACAGCCCATCGCTGCCCACTTGCCAGCCGCTGCCTCCTGCCGTTTGCCATCTTCCACTAACGGCTGCCGTGGGCCGTTGTCCACCTGCCACCGTCTCTCGCCGCCGCCCCCCGTCGGCCGCCGTCCCTCTCCTACCACCGGTTGTTGCCCGCCTCCTGCCACTGCCCAACGCCAGCCACCGTCCTCCGCATTGGCCGCGTAGCCGTTCGCCGTCTCCTCCCCCCACCATTTGCCGCCTGCCGTTCGCTGCCACAGTCCTCCCTCCTCCCACTGCGGCTACCGCCGCCCCCCTCCCGTCGCCACCCCCTCCTGCCGCCAGCCATCACCCACCTCTCGCCGTTGCCCGACACCGGCCGCCTCCAGCAGCCGTCCTTTGCACTGGCCACATCGCCATCCGCCGCCACCTCCCCCCACCGTCCGCCGTTCGCTGCCACAACCCGCCGTCTGCTGCCACCATCTACCCACCGTCTACTCGTCGATCACTTGAGAGGGAGAAATTTTGTGCTGTTATCAAATAAAATTTTGTTTCGGGAATAGAAATTTTGTATCATTATCAAACATGTTTTTTTGCTTAGAAACTCATCAAGGAATACAAATAGATAAAAGGCCAGAAATTAATTTCTGAAACAGAATGGTTATCATTAGCAGTCTCAATCTCCCGTTTCTTTTATATGATTTTTGGTGTATTTCGTTGAAAGTCCCCACAAGTGTATGTGTAATTCCTGTCAAAAAGCACTAGGCCTCATCTTATGGATGACATTGTCTTGGATGTGTTGCAAGAACGCGTTCTCTCTCTTTTTTTAT